ATACTTTGTTTTGGGGCAGCCAGTTTACCTGCGTGAGTCGCAAGTACTTCAGCTAAATTTGGAAATTATCTCCCAGACTCCCTCACACGGTTATAGGGAAAAAAGCATTTTATAATCTTCGAGAAAGTTATACAAATGTAAAACACCATTAGTTTAAGCTTCTACCTTAAAAACTTCTTGTAAGTCATGTGTAACAGAAATGTGTATTTATTATGGATGATGTTGGACTAAAGATGTGTCATGAAAGAGTTAGCTTGAGGATGTGATATTTCGATGTGGACTTACTCTCACTATGTCAAGATACAATTCGCATTTCTCCTAACACTTTGTGTCCTGCATTTGTATTTGTTGTTTATTTCTTGCTGGTCCCCAAACCTTTCCACTGTTGTTTCTTGCCTCTCCCATGTATAGTAACAAAGAGTTACAGCCTCTTTGTCCAGTTTTCAGACTTCTTCTAGTGAAGACCCTGAAAGAAGGGTGACTTGGTGAACTTACCTCCCGCGAACTCATCATGGCCATGAAGGCAGCAGAATGTTTCTCAATATGTGTGAAGTGCTGTGGGAGAGCAAAAGCGGAGGTCCTCTCTGTCATTTTCTGTGTGGCCTGCAAATCACCAAGTCCTATTGAATGTGTCCTAAATCTCTCTCAAATTGATCCTTTAGCATAAGACAAAATATTCTCACTCCTGAATCACAGAAGTATCCAGTAAACTGGACTCTTTCCTTAATCACGTGCTCCCATTCCCTACCTTCCTGCCTGCCCAAATCTTTCCTCTATGCAACATGGTGGAATAATCCTGCCAAAACCTAAATCTGTAGACATCAATTCCCTACTTAAACCTTGGGTGGCACCCAGTCTCCTGTAAGGGAACCCTATAGTCTCTAGATATGACAAATAAGGCTTTCCAAATCTGATGCCTGTTCATCTCTCCGGCATCTCCACTCACACTTGTACTCAGGAATACCGAGCTATTCCTAGTTCCCAAATGCACCATATACCCTTTTTAAAGCTCCATGCTTTTTTCATGATTCCCTCTAACTGTAATTGCTCTTCCTCTGATCATTTCTGTCTAGAAAATTCTTATTCATCCCTTAAAACTCTATTCCAGAGTCACCCTTTATTGCCTTTTTCAGATCTTCCCAGAAATAAACTGCAATATCTAGCCAACCATGTTTTCATCATTGTACATATCACACCAAATTTTAATTATTTGTTAGAATAATTTGTTTCCTCTTCTAGACTGTGAGCTTCTTAAGGACAAAGATCATGTCTTATTCATCTTTGGATCTCAAGGAATTAGCAGAGTGTCTGACAAATTATAGCTACTTATAAATATTTCTTAAATAAAGGAATGGATGGATTCTTATATGTGAAAACAACACACACCCTGTGTAATTCGTGGGAGTGAACTGTAGAAAAAGAAATGTTTTACGGGGCTCATCAACTATTTATCACTGTTAGTTCTTTTTATGCTTTTGACTTTTATGTAATCTTTCATGTAATGCAAATTCTAAGGTTGTAAGCGTCTCATCTACATGAAGGAGCAACAGAAACTGACCATGTTAGGCCAGTTGGTGAACCACATACCTTGTGACATGAATATTATCACAGATGGGTTATTTTCCCCCTCATCTCCTCCATGTGACTTTGAGCAGCTGTTGTTAGACTGAAATTTATGAAAAGCAGAGCTGCTTGACAATTTCAGAAGCAAAGTTACGCCCTGTACAAGCGCTCCCTCCTTCCCCTAGTGAAAGTTTTGCTCTTCTTTCTCTCTAAAGCAGTGAAAATGTTATTAGGCATGATGTATCTCCAGTCCCACTGATCAGAGTTAAATTGGAAATGAAAGAGCCCACGGTAGTGCTCCTTGCTTATTTGATTCATGAGCTTACTTTGTCCACGAGTCCCTCTGTTGAATCAGTGTGAGCTGTAAACTGGCATGCCCCCCTTTTTACTGTTACGGCTGGGATCAATGGGTAATAAATGAGTATTCTCAATTTTATCTAACAGTGCTGCTTCCCAGGAAACTCTGGGGGTAAAATGAACAGGGTGTAATTGTTCCTTTTATATTTATAATTATATTCCGTGCTTTCTATTAGTGCACACCACTGAGTTTTTCCTTCTTTTCTTCATAAGATACACATTTTACTTAGAAGTGAAAATTAATACCTATTGTGTAACTAGTGATGGTTCTTTTTTGAGTTAATTAACCCCAAATGCTGATGGAATAGACCAAAAGGTGACATCAGTGTAGTTTGCATCTATTTCAACTTCTGTTTCCACAAGACAAGATTTTGCTTTAAAGTGTATGGTCCTAGATTATAATGGATATAAATTAGTTTCTCTCATTTCAAATCATCTCTGAAACTAGTACAATTTGAGTTTCACTCTTCAATGAGTCAGTTTTGGGAAATATACTGAAAGTCTATTTCATGGAAAGCAAAATTATCTTTTTTTAAAAAATATTTTATATTTATTTTTCCTTTTTCTCCCCAAAGCCCCCTGGTACATAGTTGTATATTTTTAGTTGTGGGTCCTTCTAGTTGTGGCATGTGGGATGCCGCCTCAGCATGGCTTGATGAGCGGTTTCACATCTGCGCCCCGGATCCGAATCCTGGGCCGCTGAAGCGGAGCATGTGAACTTAACCACTCGGCCGTGGGGCCAGCCCCATTAGCTCTTATCTTTTTTTTCCTCTCTCTTTCGTATTTTTTCTGTTTCATTCATTTGTTCAATAAATAGTAACTGGACACAGCATTTGTTGATTGGATTCTGCTGGGCACTGTGAAGAATTTAAAATTTTTTAAGTTACTGCCCTCAAAAACCCTACAGAGAGACACACAAAAAGTTAACTAGAAAAAGAGATGTCACAAACAGTACCAAATGAGTAGCACAGGCAGTAAGCACTGCGAGTTCAGAAGCCAGTCTTTACCTCCCTGACATTTTCAATCAGAGCTTTCCAGCCTGTCACCCTTTGTGATTTATTTTTAATGGTTCTTTTCATCTCCCTCCAACACGTAGACAGATGGCAGGAACATATCACTGGTTCGATCCCCTATCTCTTTATTGCCTCAACTCTACTTCCAAGCTCTTGAAATAAAAATTGGAAGCTGTATCCAGACTATTTTGTGAATGTCAGATTATTATCTACCTACTTCCAGTGGAGTAAAGGAGATGGGGTTACGTGAATCAGGAAGAGCATGTTTTTCTCCAGATCTCTATGTATCAATCATACCTGAATATTTAAAATGTTATAAAAAGAAAGTATTTGACCATGTTCAACAGTGAATTGTTACCAAATTGAGAAAGTTTTGTTAATAACACTGCTCCTTTCCAATTATTATTTAGGGCTGACACTGGTTATATTATACCCGTTGTGAATGGGTACACGCTGCTCTCAACTCTGTAAACCAAGGCTGTTCCATACCCTTCTTTCCCTTTCTGGTAGTAGACATATAATGCTTGACTCATGGAAGCCACTGGTGAGGTTGTTTGACCAGTTTGACTGGCATCACATTGGTTTTCACCACCAACTTTTTCTTTTGCCCTGGGATGAATCATTTGTATATAGCCCTATTACCTCTTGAGCAGTCTTCTGCAAACAGGTCTATTAAATTAACCCCCAGGTAATCAACCTCTCTCACATTCACGTATCTTTCTTTCCGCTTCTATGGCTATAATTACCTCATTGTGTTTTCATTGCTTTCATGCACTTGTATTATCCCCCCCACTAGAGTGTAAGCACCTTGAGGGTGGGAAGTGGAACTTGATCACTGTTGTATACCCAGAGTGTAGTTTGGTTCCTGGAGTATAGAATTTGCACTCAATAAAGAATGCTCAATGCTCAGCATCAAGAGAAAAGCATAGCAGGCTATGAAGGCTCAAAGGAGAGGTACAAAACCCAGCCAATGATAGAGAGTTAGGAAGAATTTCAGAGGAAGATACACCTAAACTGAGACCTGAAGGGTAATTGCAAGTTGGGTAGGCATAGGAGAGGACAATCCAACAAAAAAAATAGCATGGACAAAGACCTATATATGAGAAAGAGCAAGGTCCATTGAAAGGCAGAAAGATCAGCTATGCCTTATGTTACCATGCCTGAGAATCAAAACATAGTGGTATACACTATGTGTGTATGCGTATGTGTGTATGAGAGAGGAAACTTTAGTTTTTAATAGTTTAATTAGATATAATAAAACATCAATTCCGTCAACCTATAAAACCCTTAATATTTAGACCAAAGCCCTCTATTGGGCTAAACAACCTTTCCATTAACTTTCTCATTGTTTTCTTTTCCCTCATGTCAAATTTTAGTTTTTTTAAATATTTTTTTATTCTCTTTTTTAATTGTTGGCATTTTCATAGTGTTTTTTAAATAGCTCCACTGCAGACAATAGTATGGTTAAGTGGAAAGATGTGAACCTACCCACCTTGCATGAAACTATTATGTGTAGAAGAACTGTTGCACTCCACTTAGAAAAGAACATTGACAAAATGTCCTGCTTCTAAATTGAGGTTTGGGGTGCACAAGGGACAACTTGTGGCAGAATGTGGTGGAAGACATCCTGGTCTTGGAGTGCAAACAGCTGCGCCATTCACTTTCCTAAGTCCATGAGACTCTCAATCTCATCATTTGGTTGAATGGGATCCATAATACCTGCTCTATATTCTTTATAGCTATTCCCAAAATTTAAGGGGAAACTATATGTGCAATGAATCACGTAACAGATGGTAGACAGTTGTATTCAGTTATAGCACAAGGTCATCTGCTATTATAGTTATTTTTATATTAGAAAATAAAAATTTTATTCCCCCCCAACAACTAAAACAGCATTGTCTATGGAAAAACATGGATGGCAATTTAAAAGCTACACTTTTTAAATACACGTTTTTAAATAGTTTGTCACTATGTTTGTGGCATAACCACAGCAAGTATGTTTACATAGAAATGGCTTTGTCTCACTGACATGAGGATAATACACACTGTAACCATTTTGTCTCATAGAATGATTGAAGATAGTGGGAAAAGAGGCAATACCATGGCAGAAAGAAGACAGCTGTTTGCGGAGATGAGTAAGTATGGAACTTTCAAGGAACACCTTACAGTTTCACTTGAATACTCATGGAAAGGCTGGAAATAACCACTGAATTCTTACCTAATTCCTATGGCATTTGTACTTTTCCTTAAAATCCTAAATTTCTTACATAAGATGTACATTTGGGCATTTTTTCCTCCTATTAGGTAAGAGTTAAATTAGTCAGTGAATCATTTATAATTTGTTACTAGACTGTGTATTTTATATGAAGGAAAAAGTTTCATGGACCTAAGTATGTCCACATATACACATGTATCTATGTATACACACATGGACGCTTGATAAACACTATATGTAGTGTTGGTATTAACACAGTGCACTCAACTTTAGAGTCTGTGTTCATGTCCCTACACTGTCACTGTGTCTGGCATATTGTAGGCACTAGACAAGCTTTGTGAAAGGAATCATTGAATGTCTGACCTGAAAAATGATATCATATGTTCATGTGGGAAAGAGGAGTCCAGCATGACTATCAGACCAAACTATAAGCATCATTTGAACTTCATGCAGGAGGGGAGAAGCTGTTCTACAAGCCAGTTTCTGAAAAGTGAAAAAGAAAACAAAAGTTAAAAAGAGCATGGAGGTGACCTGCTATACAAGGGAAGCCAAATCAAGACTGTATTTACTGACTCCAGTGGAGAATCCATTAAATAATGGCTATTGATTTATGTAAATGCATGGTTGCTGTGTAAGTAATTGGTTGGTAGTGTCTCCCTTGTAGACTGTTTTTCTTGTTCATAAGGAAGAAGAACTTGACATGGAGGGGAACACATCTCATATTAAATGTTATAAAGAAAAAAGTACGATTTTCTTATTGTCTTTTTGTCTCTCCTTCCCTGCATAAGGAGTGAGGATGAGCAGAAGTGAGTTGTAAGCCTTTTTCCCTGAGAAAGCAGGAGACAAAATTAGGTTTCTACTGAAGATTGGAGCTGATTGGCAAGAATGAGGGTCAGAGCAGATAAAGGAAAGTCCCAGATAATAAGATTCATATTTTCCTTTATCATTTCCCAATAATCTGAAGGCACCAAGGCAGTGTTAGAACTAACAAAGAGGAAAGAAAATTAAAATTGATGTGGGGAATCTCAATCGTGCTCCCTGCTTTTGCCACTTTTAGAAACATGTCTAAAGTGTCTATGAGAGTTTCAGCCATGACCTTCCAATTTCCTAGGCCATGTTTGTGACTATGTCTTCACTTCTGGCATGGCCAGTCACCTGGAGTTGTGACCTTTGTTGATACAAATCTAACACCAAGGAACCTAGTTACTGCCTGCCCATCTAAACGAAATCTAAAGCAGTACAGTATCCTCCCATACCGTAGATTCTTAGACTGAAAAGGCAAGACCCACATACATCATGAGCCAGAAACAGAAAAAAATATTAATATTAAACCTAAAAAAGCAATAAAGTCTTGGGGTAAATCTTTGAATTTCTCACATTAAAGACTGTATCAGCCAATGCACTATAAGAATTATAAAAGTGTGCTTATTTAATGATTTTGTAAACATTTATTTGAGTTTAAGTACATTATCCCAGTTCCTTTTGCAGCTGATACAGTGCTTGGCACAAATACATATGTCACAAATGTCTTCTGAATTAAGCAAGATCAACACAAGTTTTATAGCCATAGAAACAGAACAGATCTCAATTTTTCAAGTGAGAGAAACTTAAGAAACTTGTGCATTCATTTCCCAAATTGTAACTTTATCTTTTCATAGAAACCTCTTAAGGATGTCATGTGCTTTCTTAAGTCATTTTATGAGTTCTCCTGATTAATGATTAGAATAGTTAAGCAAGACACACAAATATGTATCTTTCTTCCTTGGGTGTGCTACATAATAGACTCAGATGTTGGCCCAAACCAGGTAAACACATCCGACTTTAACAATCCATTCGAGAGCATCATGTTTAAGTCAACACTAAGTAGGACTTGTCCATAGTCAATGGGATTCAACTGGATAAAACAATCGTCTGGTTTCAAAGGGAGGGACTGATGTTGATAGGTAGACTGTCATACAAAAGAGAAAGGTAATCTCATTAAGAATGTATTAAATAGTTGAAAAATATATAGGTTACTACAGCTCTATCAGCAGAACACCAAAGAAAGACAAGGAAACTATTTATCAGAGAAGACTGACATCAAAGTAAATTCTTCCAGGAGTCTGTGATGTCTAAACACGGAGATAAAAAAGAAGGAGGAACTTGTAAATCTGATCAGCTAAGTATTATCTAGAAATAATATATATTTTAAACAGCAAAAGAAAATACCAAAGAGATCTTTTGTTTGGAAGTTACAAAAGTCAAAGAAAAATTGCATGTGAAGGAGTTAGGAAGGCAGGGAAGAGTATTCAAGATTATTGCAATGTAATCCAGACTTTTGCAAGAAGGAAGAGAGGAGTTTTAAGCACTGGGGTGAGCTAGGGCAAAAGTACTCGAGGATATTAATGGAGAATTTGGTCAATTGCGTTTGCTAATTGTCACAATTGGAAAGTTAGGCTCCTACCCTCCCACAGAGACTGGGAGATTTCCCTCAATGATTACATTTGAAGAGATGACTCCCAGGTTCTTGAGAAAGACATTCCTGGGTTGTACACTTGGCAAGAAGCTGGAAGAAGATTTACATCTCAAAGGGGCAGACAAAGAATTTACAATGGAATCTTTTCTAAAGCAGATGCTCTAAGAAATGGGAGGTCAGAGGCCTAGAATCAGGAGGAAGCCTGTCTAAAGTTTAGTCAAGCTGAAGAGAACATTAAGTCATCTTGGCCTCACAAAGGCCAAAGAACAGAGAACAGAGAACAACAATTGATAAGAAGAACAATTGATAAGAAATTTTGGCAAATTCAGATGATTGAATACGTTAAACATCTACTCTGAGCTCATAACCACAAGCAGCAGAAGCAGAGAGAGCAAAGAAACGAAATTAAGAGTAGCATGGCCTCACAAATAAGTAAAGAAAAACTAGCCTTATAAAAAAAAAAAATTAGGTGGCCACCTACTTTGATTAAAGAAATTCTGGGCAAGATGCCCTTAACTGAAAATTCTCCTCAATTTAATGCTCTGATTATCAATTTATTTAGTACCTTGGATTAAAGCTGAAAAGACTCCAGTTAAATGTAAATGTCATGCTCACCTTGGCCTTTTCAACAATCAAATTAGTTTATCAGCTCAAATAAGTTTATGAGACTAGCTTTTAGCAGAATAAGTTGTTGGTTCTTGGAATTAAACTGTCCTTCTCCTGTTTTTCTGCTCCTAGACCACATTTACTGTGCCTTGTATGACATTGCGAACATAGCCATGTCACTGGCTGTGGTGAACTCCTCCTTAGGGACAGACCCTAGACCTTTACCTTCAGATCCACTCACCTGAGATACTGAATCAATGTTGATTTATAAGCCTCTGGGGCACAGGATAGGTAGATTTTAATGGGAGGAAAGGGATTGGAAAACACTCTTTCAGAACATGTAAGTCTGCCTAACAAGATGAGGAAGGTTCTGGGGAGAAAGCAGAGTGATACCACACTCCTCCAAGTGGAGGAGGGACCTGAAATCAAAGGGAGGCAAACGTAGGTACTCAACACACACTGCTGAATTGTTTGAAGGCAGGCAGTCCTTCTTCAGAATGTTCGCTGCAATGAGCGTGTGCATAGTTGGAATGGAGCCTAGAGCATGATTTTGCAAGGTACACTATGAGTTTTAGGAAAACTGATTTTGAAAATTCAGAAAAGTGACATGAATGATTCTACTACCTACCAAAGGCCAAAGTGGATACAGTGACTGTTCTCACTTACTTCTTTATTTCTCATGCTCCTCAGCCTCTTTAAGATGTTAAAACCATGGATCACTATCCTGGAAATTCTCTTATGTCACCATCCCCCTTTGGTCTCCTCCTTTTTCTGACCACTCTACTTCTATTTTTCTGTCTCTTGGTACCCTCCAGACCCCCTGAGATCAGATTTTACCAAAGTTTTGTTCTTGACCAATTCTTTCCATAGACAATTTGGCTTTCTCTCAAGGCTTCACTGTTATTGTTATGGCTTTCAGTTGCTCAAGGAGTCCCCCCAAACCACCTCCCATATTCTCATTAACCCGCTTATCTAGAATAGTCAGCATATAAACTCAATGTCCCTTCCAGCCTTGTCTCCTCACTGTCAAGACTTCTACTGATGAAGCGCCTTAAGGTGGGCTCATCATTATCTCCACCAATAATGCCCATCACAAAAAAGCCAATGTCCCTGCCAAGGCTTCTGCCTTCCAGTATTTCCAAAGCTGTGCAGTCCTTGAACAACTACCAAACAAGTGGGCACTCTTCAGAAGTGCGGGGGCAAGTTCTTGTTCACAATTTTGTGCCTCATTTTGTCACCAAGGTTGTGGAATGGCCCTACTTGTGCACACAGTCTCCTCTTGGAAAAATATTCTCAATCTTGGCCCTGTCAAGACACATTGCTACATTTTATATCTTTGTTAATAATTCCTGGAATGTATTACAGCTATAGTCAGAAGTTTCACATCCATATATCTAACTGTCACTGAATATCTCCACTTGGACGTCCCACAAGCAACTCAAACTCTGTAAGCCCAAAACTGAACTCTTCATCTTTACGCACTTACAAACCTGTTCCTCCCTATTTGTGCCTTAACTCAATGAGGGATAGTCCATCCTATTGAGTTGTTTAAGGCAGAAATATGAGCATTATCCTTGCCACTCAATCTCTGTCCCTCTGTCTCTCGCTCTCTCACACACACACGTGCATCCAGTCAATCATTAAGCGTGGAAAAGACTTCAGACACAGAGTCCATAGGCTTCATCTTTATTCTGTTAACATTTGTTTAGTGAATTTGAAAAATGAATGAGATATTTAAGAAACTGGATGACTGTATAAAATGAATTATCAAAATATAGAAGGCAAAGCATACAGGAATTGTGTGAAACAGCTGAGAGTATAATGAAGCTAACACCAAAAATTAGATAAGATTGGTGGTTGGTTGGATAGATGGACGAATGGAAGGAAAGAACGAAGGCAGGGGAAGGAAGGGAGGGAGGAAGAGAGTAAGGGAAGGTGGGACAAAAGGAGAAAAGGAGGAGAAAAAGTCTTGAAAAAGAAGGGCGAAAGAAAGGAAAAGCAGGATTTACAGGTAATAACAGCGTGCTCAATCAGAATTTCTTCACTGCATCTTTGCTTCATCTCCATCACTTTCTTCCAACTACAACATGAGCATGAGATGTTTGAAGAGATGGTGCAAGCGCAGCAAGTTGCCTTAAATGTTAGCTTTAAATTTTTGGTATGAGAAGTTTTAAATATATACAGAAGTGGAGAAAATAGTATTCGTCTCTACCGTTAATTATCTACACCCAACCCCCACTGTATTATTATGAAGTAAATCCAAGGTATTATTTGAATGAGTTGAATCTCCAAGTTGTAAAGAATTATATCTCAGTGACATAATAATAATCGAAAAAATGCTGTCCATGATTTTGAGAAATAATGGAAACTGCAAACAAAAATTATAGGAAAATGCTGTATTCATTTTTTATTAAAAAGTAAGAATATGGATTCTTCAGAGTCTAGGGTATGAACCTGATGTAGGATTCTTGATAAAATGGATTTTTTTTTTCAGATCATGGACAGAATATAGTGATAAAATAAAAATCCTGGATCTTTCAACATACCAAGAACAAGAATTGCTCTACTGACTTTGGTTCCTTATTCATTTGTTTAAATTCCATCTTTTTCATAAAGGAATTGTCAGCTAATTTCCCTTTTTAATAAGCCTGCTAGACTGCTAGCTCAGGAAAATACCATGGGATAAAAATGAACCTTAATTTCAGCAAGATACAGACCAAGTCTCTTAGGTTGTGCATGTGTTGGAGAACTGTGGGCTGGATCACCAAACAATTCGGGAGATTTAGAGGTGGTGTTGTGACCAGGTCTGGAGGAATACATAAAGGGTCAATGAATTTGTAAGTTGGCCTCTCGTACTATCCTGGAGGACTCTGTGGCCCTGTTCAGGTCATTGGTTTTAAGCAAGGACTTGGACACAAAAGACATGCGAGTACTCTCAAGGTAGGCCTTGAATTTATAGACTTTCAAGAAGAGACCACACAGGTAAAACTGAATTAAGTTCAGGGATTATTGGGGCAGAGACAAAGAAATTTATGTTAAACAAGCTGGATAAACAGAGCAAGAGCCTGCACAGGCTGTCTCAACCCAGCTTTTTTTGGTCCCAGAACCCACTATGGATCCTGTGGTTGCCACTTTCATTGTCTGTGCAAGGTAGTGTGCTGCTCTATCTGAAAAACTAAATTTCATTGTTCACCACATCCCTTTCAATATTCAGAGCTTACATCCTCAGCCAGGAAGAACTTGCACAAATAGGAAACAGTGACAGACCTCCAGCCCCCTTTCCTGATTCTTGAACAAAGCAGAGGGTCAGTTAAGTCCACATCGTGGTAAGGAAGGAGAGAGCAGTCAGCGTGCTCTGTCCCTAAGCATCATCTCTACGTCCCTCTTTACTGCATCCCAGGGAGGTGCACCTTTGCAAATTGCCTCTAAGACCTCTACGAGAGAAAGGTGCAGAGGAGCCAGGGTTTCTGTTCTCAGAGGATAAGGTCTTGCTGGAACTAAGAAATTTAATTGTGTGCTGCATCTCCGTCCTTTTGTACCTGGGGCTTGAATCATTATTCTTGAAGAACTCACACAAAGAATTATGTCCCTAATGTCTTCTTTCAAAGGCTTAGTTTCAGATATTGAGACTCTCCAACTCAGCTTCAATGAAACTACATCTTCATCCAGGGGAAAAGACAGATTTAGCATTTGGGTATTTCTGATAGCCTCTCTGTCTCTGGTTATCCAGCATCCTAGAGAGTTCATTTCCCACGTGAGCCTCTCAGATTTACAGAGGATGTGAAACTGGAAAGGCTCTTTGAAATGCCGGTGACAAAATCAAAATTTTTAAAAAATCAGAAAAATTAGAAGCATGAGCTAAAAATTAGAAACAACTAACTAGATAAAAATGAAATCCTACCTTTAGCCCCAAAATAAGCATTTAAATAGAAAATAGAAAAGATCTGACTTAATATAAGTACATATGCTTTTTTTTTAAACCAGCTTTTTAATGAACTGCAAGCTTAATCAGAACCAGAAGAATGAACCATCAATAAAAAAAAAATTGCATTAGTGAGTGTCCTCATCAAAGGTGGTAATAATTGCCTGCTATATATTCTATACAGATGAGGCCATAGCTGTGACATTTGGGTTAATTTTGTATATCTCATTCCAAGAAGATTATAGTCAGCCGTAGAACAGGATGACTAGAATAGTTAAGGATCTCAAAACCGTGTCTTATGATAATAAGAATAATAATAGCAACTTTGGTGTTTTGAAGCCCTACTGTGTGCCATGCTCTGTGGGAGCCACTGTACTTGAAATGGCTGTGGAGTTGAATGTCTTCAACCTAAAACGTCAAGGAGAAGCTTCTCTCCAGCTAAACTTAAACTCAGTGATGACAAGGACTTTTGTACATAATCTTCAGATGGTAATCAAGATTCTAATAATGATCATGATAGCTGCTTCACAATGTTTGAGAAATAAATTATCAAGTGGCAGGGAGAAAAGATGATATGGCTCCAGAAGGGACACTAGATCAAGGGGATTGAAGTTACAGGGAGGCAAATTAAAGTTCAAATATAAAAAAGAAATTTCTATCACTTATTGTTGCTCAGAAATGTCCAGGAAGCCTTTTAAGGGGGCCTGCCTGCAGTTAAGCACTCACGGTGTAACAGCTACAGAGGTACCAGCCACTAAAGTTGATACTATCACCATTTTATGCATGAGGAAATTGGACACCAAGTAAAAACTTGTCAAAGTTCACACAACTAGAAAGTGACAGATTAAGGTTTGTTGACTTTAAAGCCCATTTATTTTCACCCAAGTTGTAATCATCCTTGTCATTAGAAATAATCCTCCATGGCTATTGCCTAAATGTCCATCTCTTGAGCACATGTTTAGGGGAATTCCTGCGCTGCGTGAGGGTAAGTCCTTACCACTTTGATTCTTCAAGCTCCCAGTATCAATGAGCCCATTTGTCAAGTAATAAACTTTCATAAGAATGGATGTTTGGTGATGTGCCTTATAAAACCACAAAGTAATAGGCATATTGATAGTATTTTTAAATGAATTTAAAAAGATCAGTTTGAGTCCTGGGAATGCTAAATGCTCTCAGTGGGGGACACTTGCTAATTCATTCCGAGTTTCATCAGGAAAGCACTTAATTGCCTTCCTAATATAATTACTTCTGGGCCAGTTCATTTACTTTCTACCCTAACTATTATCTTATGAAGTAATTATGTAGCACTTTTCCTGGTGAAGAGAAAGTCCAAAACATGTCATAATATAGCTATGTGCCTTTATATCTGGTACAAACCGTAAACATGGGCTTGAGGAATGGCCAATATTTAGAAGTGAAGATGAACAGACATTCTTCAAGGTCTGCGGTGTTCTGGACACAGACTAGAGATTAGCCCATTCAAAGGAGGGTGGGAGAATCACCAGGAACTCAGGCGTCCATGTAACGAGCAGCCCACCCACAGGGCATTGTGAGGAGACCCGCCTGAGCCTGGCCAAGGTTCTGGGCTAGAGAGTAATGGGAAATAGTGTTCTGTAGATAGGACGGAAAGAGCCTGCAGATGAGCTTGGAGTCTCAGCAGAACATTCAGGCCTGGTGCTGTGGGCATCGGGAGCCATGTTGGATTCTTGAGTGAAGAGTGGAAGGAGGAATGTAGTTCAAGATTATGGGGAATATGTTCCTCTGTATTAGGGAAGAACTGGAAGCCACAGTGAAAGAAAGAGTAGTGGTTGTTTTTAGAAAAGAGTGCCCTCTGCTGAGATTGACAGGAAGGATTGCAGGCCAGGTACTAGTAATAATAACGAATATTTACATAGCACTTACTGTGCGCCGGGCAGTGTTCTCAGTGCTTTAGCTATATTCACTCCTTTATCCTTACACAATCCTATGAAATAAGTAGTGGTAGTGTCATCATCTCCATCTTTCAGATGAGAAAATTGAGGCTTCTAAAAACAATTGGCCTCAGGCCACATGGAAAAGATGCTCAACATTCGGCCTATGCTCACGTCACAGCCTTGTTCTAATGGCCGATCACAGTGCGTTTAAAGTGATTATTTGATGATATTACCATCTGATATCGTCTAGCTGTGCAAGTCACAGCTTGAGCAGATTGTTCTCAGAAGTGGCAGACACCACGACGGGGCTGAGTGTGTGTTCCTTGGCCCATGAACACAGTTGACAACCGGATCCCAAGAGTTGATGACATGTGTCTCTTTCCCTAGACCCTGAGGAATAGGAGACAGACTTTTTCAAGTCTTTCAGTTATATTTATATTCTAATAAAATTAAGTGTATGGGCTATGTCTATAGTTTTATTTATAAACATTATGCATTCCTTTCCGCACACATGGCATACCATATGTGTACCTTCTTCCCACTCCAGGGGCTCAAGATCTGGATCGGATCCGACTCTCCACCTACAGAACAGCATGCAAGCTTAGGTTTGTTCAGAAGAAATGCAATTGTAAGTATGCCAGTTGTTTGGACTAATTACCCTCATGCATCCTATAGTTTACATTTGTTACTTAGTTTATTAAAACTAGGTTTTCTTGCAAATATTGATAAAAATATATTTACATAACAACAAAAAGAGTATCATGATACGCAAATGGTAGAGAGACTATTCCTAAGTAATTGTGAAGGCTTAATTACTCTAAATTGCTAAAGGAGTGAAGTGGATGAGCCTCCGGATGTGCATATAATCTTGCCGTCGGAATGGTTTAAATTTGTATGGATTTTTTTCTTCTTTTCTCTGGCCTTGGTATTGTAAATACAGGACCATCCAAACGGTTTCCAGGGGCTTTATAAAATATCAAAGATTAGATCCTCCTTCTATGGGTATTTTCTTTACAAGTACAGGAACATGTTTACAAGCTCCTGGAAAACATTTACGTTTCTTTCTGAAACTACAAAATTAGCCCTTTGTAATATGTGCTACATTGGACAATAGCAAGAGAAGAGACAGCAATATTTAAAGAAACAAAGAAACTTGCTTCAGCTTTTCCCCACATTTTAAAACATAAGCAGCCAGCTAGATCATTAATCTCCGTGAGCAGATTTAGATTCCCCGTGGGGTCAATGCTTCCATCATATTACCACATCCATTTTCCCTTGGAAAAAAAGTGCGGCTTTATTCTTTTTGAAAACTGCCTGCTATAAAAAATTAATAACTGTTCTCATTTTCTAATTAGTATTGGATGACTTTAAAAAAATGAAAATCATAATGTTCTCCGGCATGCGGACACATAGTTCTTGAATAAGTGGCATGAGGATTAGAAACTTGGTGAACATAAAAACCAGCCATGTCCACATCTGTGCCCTCCCACAGTCACCAGCAGATGTCTGCTGGGACACTGGGAGGCCACCCCAGCCCCAGGCTTCTAGGCTCAGAGCTGCTCAGGCCTGTGGGCATGGGTGTTGTGCACAGGTCCCTCAAGTTGCTCCTCTGAAGCTTCTTCTCCAGCCGCTGTGTCTAGAAATGAGGCTGAAGTTTGGGACAGGAGGAGGATGGAGAAAAAATATAGGTTGGTCAAACATCAAAGACGTGTTTGACTCCTCACAGGAAGCCAAACCAATCAAAAAAAAAAAAAAAAAAAAAAAAACCCAGCAGTGAGAAAAGCACTACGAATGTGGGAAGGAATTTGTGGTTGCACCTGCAGTCCTGTGTGTTGATAGGTCAATAAAAGCCCTCTCCAGGACTGGAATTACAGGACGCGGAAAGAGCTCCCACAGAAGTAAAGCTTTCCCTCCACTTCAACCCCATCATCCATATTTAAATGAAAGGAAGAATCTCCATGTCTTCATCAAGGAAAAAGTAATGGGATCCTCCCACTTTCCTACCTTGTTGTGAATGGCCCTCGAAATAGAGGGGAGGGAGAAAGAATAGGGATGGGAGCCTGTCTTCTTAAAGCTTTTCCAAGCAGAGCCTTCTTTGGGCTACTTTCAGTAGAAATGGGGAATTTCAAAAAGATATTACAAAATAATAAGGATGACCAAAATGAATAAATAAATAAGTAATAAGGAAAAGAAAGAAAGAGAGAGAAAGGATAGAATTCTCACAGTGATTTGGCAGCCCTGCGGCCAGCATTACAGAAGGCACACGCTCTGTTGGCCCTAACTGGGTCCAGCAAACCACAGGCCATATCCCATTCCTCCTCCTCTCCGATAAAGGCCCTCTCTCATTCTTGGGCATCTCTTCTTCCTCTTCCTGTTCTTTTCTGTCCCTCCTCCTTATCCTACATCCAGAATCGTGGCATCGTCGCACAGACGTTCTTGGAAAACAGTTACCATATTGGAAAATAATGGTAGCCCATCCCTGGGTGAAAATAGAGCCTTTGTACCTGTCCAGTTACCCCTCAGTGCATCATTCATTTACTTCTTAATTTAGTAAGCTTATAATGAACTCCTGTTATCTGTTTGGCACTGTGCTAGGTACCAGGATAGAGCAATGGTGACTAAGATGTGATCCCTGCCTGAAAGTTGCTCAAAGTCTAAGTTGTTAGATGGACTTTTAAAAAGAGTCATGAAACAGTGTGGAAGTGTAATGAGGAGAATCTGTATTTAGTGTTGCGGGAATACCAGGAGGCAGGGCCCTGACCTGTGTGGGGGCCGCTGCGAGGAGTTTCCCGGAATGGGAGATATCTGGGCTGAGTCTTCAAGAATTAGTAGACGTGAAGCAGAGATGTGCTATTTGCTTTACAATGTACCTTACAAACTTTATACATTTTAGGATGAGAAAAGATACTACGTTCCATACAAACTAGAGAAAACTAAGGCTCAAGGGAGAAAAACAAACATATTTTGAATGCTCTGCTAAAATTAAGCTTCTTTTTCCAATGGTTTCTATCTTGATCAGAAGCATTAAATGCAAGTACTATATGTGTTTGCTGAGTTTTCCTTCCTGACAATAAATACAGCAGTTGTGATATTGAGGTGCTTACAAAATGCTAACAAAGTTGAGCCTGGCTTATCTTAATCAAAGTTGGGGCCTTCCTTTTAGGAAGATAACCAGAAACGCTGTTTATGTGACATAATTTTAGTCACATTGAATATACACCCCTGTATTAGAGGAAGATAATTTTTGTCTGCAATATAGCCTAGCCCACAATAAATTATGCCACTGAATAATGGAACTTTACTCTACCATAAAAGAAATAAGAAAAATGTCCAGGTAGTGTATTTTAAGTACATTGCTTTATGGAAACTTTGATATGGTATTTACATCATAGAAATCGGTGGACCTTAACTGAGAACAGATTGTTTATTTTTAGGTCCAAACCTTATTTACAGGTAAAATTTATTTTGTATATTACGAAAACTAAACTTAAAAACTACATAATGGAGGAGAAAAACATAAAAACTGACACTTGTAAAATCATCACCTAGAAAAACTGAATCTTGTCTAGATATAGCATGTAGTGTCTAGATTTTTAGGAGATTTCTTTTTTTATTCAATTCAGAGATCAGAAGTGTTGTTAATTCCCCATACTTCCTTCCCCACAAGCCTGGCCTCCTCCGTTTATGGTTTCCCATATAGAGCATTGAATCCTATAGCTGGCATTCATCTTCATTCCCTTTGATGCAACTCCTGATGGATGCTGAGAATAACTGGTTCTCAGTGTTCTAAAAAGACTCCATAAAGAGGCCAGAAAACTGAGCCCTGTAGAGTAAATGTGGCCCAGCACCTATTTTTGTATAGACAGTGAACTAAGAATAGATTTTATAGATAAATATTTGTAACTGATTTAAAACAGAGAACACTAACTTGTAACCCCAATTAAGCAAAATGTTATCCCTCCAGAAAAGAATTCCAGTCTTCTCACTGGTAGACCACCACTGAAAAAGAAATCTACTTAATTATTACATTTTTAACTTCATCATTAAAATGTTGTGGAAATTTGTTTTCTCTCATTACCTATATGCCTATATCATATCTATGTAATATTACTACATAACATGGTGGCACCCCTTGGTCCACAAAAATTGTTTACCAACTTCTGATGTCAAAGAAGGGTGGTAAGAAGCCTATTTTTTTTTGTTTTTCAGGCAAAACACTCTCCATTCCTGCAACTTTTCTCCATAGGATCTATTTTCCAAATCAGCTTCTTCCCCTGACCATTGATCTTTGTACCCTGTCACACCCCTTCCCTATGCCGTGACTAGTGCATTCTCTAACAGAGTAAAAGGATTAATGTCTTTAAAAATGAGGGGACAGCAAGTTGGCTATTTTATTTTCTAGCAGGAATGGGAAGAATGGAGAATACAAATAATTTCCCTAATACTCCTTTCTAATCCACAGCCTTTTCTTTTTCTTTAGCCTCCAGATTTCCTGGTAACTTCTCACAAAAATAAATACCCTGTATTCCATTCATAAGCATGTGTGAAATGGCAACATCTCAGCCTTTGTTTTAAACAAATAACTGGTTTCTACTAGAACATTATTTCCTCAGTAGCATTGACATAGTTAATGATCCAGATACCCTGTAATGTCAGCAGATCTTTTTGCAGAAATTACTTTGAAGTCAATGCAGCACAGCCTTAAGTTTAGGAACAACGAAAGGCAACCGAAGAAATAAATCAGAAATCTCTAACCCCTCCTGTCTGATAGCAGGAACAAAAGTAAAAAGGCAGAACCCTCTCCCCACGCCCAGCTGACATTGTCCCCTCTTTTAGTCCTTCTGGTTATGGTCTGAATTTTCTTTCTGTCCCTCACATCAATTAAAATTTTATTAAGATTTTGTTTGAGAGGAGAAAGGGTATATATTTGTATCTGGGTTTTCAGAGTTTCTCAAAATATCTTTCCTGTAGTAAATGAAACATTTTTATAAGTATCCTTCATCCAGATATAAATTAAAGTTAGAACACAGGCTTTTGTCTTTATTAGCTCTAAACTTCTTTTAGGATTTCTTGTGAACCAAAAAATGCAGTTACCTGTTTACCTAAACGTTTCTCTGTCACTGCGAAGTTAACCCAGGGGACTGCTGTGTATGTAGTAGGTCCAGAATAAACTTTGTCCTATGAATCATATGCGCCACTAGATTCATTTTTCATCAGCCAAATGACTAGTCCTATGCTGCGGGAGTAACTTTAGATATTTTTGGTAATGATTACAGATATCCCATTTATTTTTCTTTGAGCTAGTGTACCAGCATATACCTCACCTCTGCCTCATTTTTAAGTATGTAGATTTTTAACTGCCTGTTTTAGTTTTTTTTTTTTTAAAGATTTTATTTTTTCCTTTTTCTCCCCAAAGCCCCCCAGTACATAGTTGTATATTCTTCGTTGTGGGTCCTTCTAGTTGTATCATGTGGGACGATGCCTCAGCGTGGTTTGATGAGCAGTGCCATGTCCGTGCCCAGGATTCGAACCAACGAAGCACTGGGCCGCCTGCAGCGGAGCGCACAGACTTAACCACTCAGCCACGGGGCCAGCCCCAACCTGTTTCAGTTTTCTATCATTGCATAA